GAATTGGTGTTGGAAATCATACAAATTTAGTTGAACAAGGCGAAAAGGCATTTTCACGAGCAGCTGGAAAGAAAGTGACATATTGTTTTTACAAAATAGCACCAAAGTGGGCAGCCAAATTATTGGTAAAAAGATGATCGAAGCTGTATTCATGATGCAGGACGGTTTACGTCTGAGCTTGACGATCAAAGATTTCTTTTAAAAAAATAGGATCTGGCGCCGCATACGCTTTGATTATTAAAATTTGGGAGCTTAAGTAGATTTGAAAGAATCCAGAATAAAAATGCACCGTGGTGTGACTTGGCACATTTGGCGCCTAAAATTTTGCCAAGCCTGAGGGAAAAAAACAATGACCTAAAATGAGTACTGAACTTCTTATTGAAAAGGAAGCTATATTTTACTGGTTTCATAGCCGTTTGTTGACATCACTATGGGAAACAACAGTACTGTAGTAATCCAGTGCTATACATGATAAGTCAGAGTACTGTTGTATTCTAGAGCTGTAAGTAAACATTAAGGAAAGATTTACTCTGATGTAACTACTTAATGGTACCACTACAGTCGAACCTCGATTATCCGGACTCGGTGGGACTAGGGTAAATAGTCCGGATAATCGAGAGTCCGGATAATCGAAAATATGAATATTAATGAGACAATGTAAACAAAAGAAATAAAGATAACACAGTTTTAATCCTAAAAGTTTACTTCAACAGATCGCTTTCGCTTCGTGGACATGTTGTCGTTTTGAGTTATGATCGTCTCGTGTGTTTACATAACCCACGCTCAGCTTAGCAACAAAACAATACTGAACAAATCAAAATTCAGCTGAATGCATTAGAATACTTCTTGTCTCTTTTTCTCTCCGAGCGCTCGATCTTTCGAAAGCGGAGCGTGTAATGGACTGTTTTAAACGCAATTTTCCTGACTTTTAACATAATTTCTGAATTTTTTTACCTCCTAAAGTTTTTAACATCTAAGGTCATTAATATTCATAAAAAAACGGGACCAGAGAAAAAGTCCGGTTAATCGATGTCCGGATAATCGAGGTTCGACTGTACTTAGAAAAATTCACTGGCAGTAGAATTAAATTTTGTGATTAAAACGTGTAAATCTTGCTTTTAGATTCTGTTTGTTTCAATGAAAATGTATGCTGTGGCTTATTCGAAAAATAAACGAACATAACAAAGAAAAACAGCAGCCGCCGTTATCCAGTGTATTCCATGACTTGACAAGGCATAGTCATGGAGGTTATATCCAGCGGCCTATAGTGGCATTTCCCTTTGTGGAGTCCAATTGCTTAATCAATACCATTTACTTTTTCTTAACTAGCACAATCATTGTGAGAGGATCACAGAGTTTATATCAAATTTGTTGTCAAAGTTTTGCTCCACTAAACGATTTACAATGTAGACCGTGAGTAAAATTTATGCAGTAATAAGTCAAGAATGCATGAGCAAGACTCTCTTTTTGGAGAGCGAGAACAGGAGAGATCCTGGGATCGAGGTTGAAACGATGTACGAAATAAGAATGGGTGGCTTCTCTCTCATTTTGCATTTGCGTTGCACGCAACAGAAGAATAATGAACCAATCAGAACCCGATTTTATACATTCATCTAATTTCTTTTTCCATTTTCTACTCTCTAATACTAGTGACATAAAAAAATACCCGGCGGAGGCAAATAAATATCGTAATACATGAAAAGCAACAATACTAAGTGAAAGAACATGAGACGTCGAGGATAAGAGACAGAAGATGAATTTCTCGCAAAAAGAGCTCTATTTATAATTTAACCGTTTCTCCAGAAGAATATGGATGCCTCTTTCTCCGATTTAGAGCACACGGCAGAAGATTAAAAAAAAGGTTTGTTATGACCTTTGATGACGCAATCCCGACACTGGAATGATTTCAAATTCCTCAACACGCTTGATTGATAAAACAACCTTTAATTTTGAATCACTTCATCATCTCAAGCCGAATACAGCATTTCAGCATAGCATCGAACATGCATTCAAAGGAGCATTTCTATCCGTAATCTTTCACAAAAGTTAAAATTGAGACTTGACGAAGACTACTGCATCGATCACAGGGACTTTGGACACCCGGTCACAAGGCACCTTTGTTCATCAAACGCCAGTTACCGACTGCTTCCACGACGTCATCAAAACAGTAAGCTATTGTTTACAGAAGGGAAAGTCCCTGTTTCCATTTATAGACAACTATAAAAAGTGAACTAATCAGTGAAGCTTGTCTGTGTCAACAAAGGAGTATCTGATTGCCGCCATCTGGAAGCTTTAAGTTAACTTAATTGGTTGCAATGGTGTTATTTTCGACGTAGGGATAACTCCTCAAGCGGCAGACCGGTCATAGTAAACCCTCATCACATGCACGAGGGACATTTCCCACAAAGATGTCTGATAAGTGTTATTTTCATTCCCATTGTGTTCTTAAAAAGTCGAGGTAAGATCGAAGCAAACACCACATTGAATACGGGGAAAGCCCCTATTCTAGGAATTCTATAATTAGTGGACCAATCAAAGGCTTTGTTTGTGTGACGCTGTTGTCTCGACAGATCTATAAATTGACTCCATTGTGTAGCGAGGAAGCGGGTTACTCCTCCAGCAGCCGGCGAGTTCGTTTGAAGAAGCTGAGTTGAGCAAGGCCTGATTTATCACGAGGTTTGTTTGTTTGATTTTGAAATGGTTGACGCAGTGATTGATAGAGTACAGTGAAACGATTAATTTTCTTCGAATAAACCTCCGACGTTAGCGATCGGCCGGTGCGCGAAAGGTAACTGATAAAACATTATTTCAGTTTATGAAAGTACTTTATATTTAGCGCTATTTTACCTCCTCAATTCTTTGATAAATAAATATTTTGCTATGAAATACTACTACGTATTCGCCTGAATACAGAAACACATCATGTTCAACGGATTTGTCTGTGATATGCAACCGAGAGGCTCACAGTAGTTATGATTTGGTTTTATTGTGCTTTAAGAACGAGACAGTTAAACATCATATTCGACGGATCCGATCGAAGTAGTGCTATTTAACAAATTTACCACAATTTTCCATTTTCTCTAATCTTATTGATCCTAGAAATGACGCCTACAATGAAACCACGAGACGCAACCGAGCGGTTTCACCACAGAGTTATTTTCAGAATTGTTTTTGTCTTATTTGCATACTCTTTGACGATTCTTTGTTGCTTAAGCACTAGGACAAGGGAAAATGTTTATTTGAAACTCCGTCGTGGATATTACACAAGAGGTGATTCTATCCAAGCAATCTATCTAGCATTATAAATTGTTGGTGGATCATCGTTGAACTCAATTGCCACCGCCATTTAAGTCTTTGTTTGTATTCAACTTAGAAAGTATACGATCATCCATAATTAATTCTGTAAACTGTTTCGTAAATTTTGAGGAATCATAAAAATAGTAGACGCAGTGTCGACTCACAGTCGATGGGAATGGTGTTTCATGTAGCTCATGGACTTCGCCAAAAACAGTGTAGCACTTTTGATCGTTTCATTACCTGATATACATGGACATTTTTTCAAAATGCATTAGTGTTATTCTTTGCTGCGTGACATGGCTTTGACCTTGTAGGATGAGCTCTTTGCTTATAAAGGTAGAAGGTTCATTTGCCATTAACTCGATCAAATTAACCTTCGTATCCGTTTCCACCTTTAATTGTTTCTGGAAGACAGTCCGAGCATGAAAACGTTCAAGGAATTGTTGAGAATTATTAACGCTAAACGTTTTCCCGAATTTCTGTGGGGTGATCTAACCAAAATGGTTTAGAAAATATCACGTATACAAGAGTTAGATATCTGATAGGTTTCCTTTGCATAGCTGGTGTGTTTATGAAAAGATCGGGGCACGACCAAAACAAACGCGTAGCTCAGTCGTGGGGAAAGCCCCCATATCTACTAACTCTGTAACAGATAGACTAGATGGTTTGATTGGATGAACATCATCGTTTAAAAAATTATCTTCATAATTACCGAGAAAAGTTTGTAAATCGCTCGCCTCCGGCTCTCGATCTCTCTACTTTTTTTGCCTTCTGCCAACATCCCCAAAAGAAAGGGGGTTTACTTCAGAATGCACAGTTTTCTGGTAAAAAA